TTGCTTTCAATTCGGCTGTAGTGTCCTTCGTTACCCTTTGGAATTTAGTTTGGTCAGAGAGTATGAGGTTCATTTTCGCCAGATATTCGTCTTTTTTAAGAATGACGAACAACAGCCGAATTGAAAGCAAAGGTCAACAAACTGATCGAAACTGTGAACGCCAAGAAATCCGGACTCCACCTGCCAAAGATTATTGGGGAATATAAACCTGGATATGCGTATGGAAATGTCAAGACACACAAGCCTGGAAACCCACTTTGGCCAATCATCAGCCAAATACCCACACCCACGTACAGACTGGCGAAGCGACTCAACGGCCTGCTGACTCCTTATATCCCTTGCGCCTTCAGCCTGAAGTCTCCAAAGGAATTTGTTGACTTACTGCGGGGCACACGGGCCACAGCGATAAGAGCCTCGTTGGACGTAGAATCACTGTTTACCAACGTACCTGTGGACGAGACAATCGGGATGAGAGCCGACAGAGTGTATCGTGATCCGGCCTGCACTCCTCTTGACATACCAGAAAACATCCTAAGGAAACTACTCCAAGCTTGTACTAAAGAGGCACCCTTCTTGAGCCCGGATGGGCACATGTATAAGCAAGTAGATGGGGTCGCCATGGGTTCTCCCCTAGGTGTCCTGTTTGCAAACATCTACATGGGTACCATCGAGCAAAAAGTCTTAGTCGAAATGAACTTGAAACCGGCCATATACTGCAGGTATGTTGACATTTTTACACAGGTACCTGATGTCAGACATCTGCAGGAGCTGAAGGAGGCATTTGAGCAGAGTTCCGTGCTGCGTTTCACTTACGAGATGGAAAAGGATGGGAAGCTGCCCTTTCTAGATGTAACAGTCATGGAAAAGAGCGGAGGTTTCCACACTGCAGTCTACACTAAGGAAACGAACATAGGAATGTGCCTAAATACCAACAGCGACTGCCCAGACAGGTACAAGAGGAGTGTTGTTAACGCTTATGTCGACCGTGCTCTCAGCCACAGCTCAGAATGGAAGCAAGTCGACGAAGAACTCTGTAGGGTAAGGCAGGTCCTAGTCAACAACGGCTTCTCCAATGGTTTCGTCGAAGACATCATAAGAAGGAAAGTGAAACGCCATGCAACCTCTGAAGAGACAACTAACACAACACCTATACCCCCTATTAGACTATTTTACAGGAACTTCTTTTCCACAGCTCATATAATGGAGGAAAGGGTCCTGAAAGATATTGTTAATAGAAACGTTATCCCTACAGACAAAAATCAGAGGATACAACTGACAATTTACTATAAAACCAGAAAAACGGCCAGCCTACTCATGAGAAACTCTCCAGACACAAAGCAGAACGCTTTAAAAGAGACCAACGTCGTCTATGCCTTCAAATGCCCTCTTGGGGACTGTAAGCTCCAAAAAACCCAGTAAATAGGCAAGACAACAACATCTCTTTCTAGGCGTTTAACGATGCATAAGCAACAGGGCTCCATTAAGGAACATATAATCTCTTCCCACAACCAAACCATCGCCAGAGAAATCCTAGTAAACAACACAGAAAACATCGATAGATACAGCGATAGCAGGCGGCTTGACGTCTGCGAGGCTCTACACATCAAGAAGTCAACACCAGCAATCAACAGCCAATTAATGCACAACTATATTCTACCCACCTCAAGACTCCGCTCCAATATAGAAGCATCAAGAAATATGGACCAATAGGCTTTCTACAAATCACTTCCATTCAATACCCATTGTTTCGTGTTCTGTCTTGTGTTTAGGAATTTAATACCCTATTAATACCACCTCACCCCATCCACCTCACTCAAATGTAGATATAAACAAATCGAAGATGTGTAAGTTCTATTCAGTTGTGTACGTGTAAGCTAAAGTCTTTGAAAATGTAATAAGTTTTACGAAACGCGCTCAAGTGTCGCGTCAGACTAGAAATAAAAATGAATTTTGGAGAATTGATTTTTGAATTACCACCAACAGTGAAAAGAAACGTACGAAAGATCGAGAAAATTCGTGTTAGAATTATTAATCTTACTTTTTCAGTCATATTTAATAATATATGTCTACAGGAAAGACTGCTACCAAAATATACTAATATATATATATATATATATATATATATATATATATATATATATATATATATATATATATATATATATATATATATATATATATATATATATATATATATATATATATATATATACGCAAAAGAACTGAAGAAAATTGGAGTACTACAGTAAGCTGAAAGTTGTTCAGAGGCAGACGGAAACATCGCAAGAGCAGGGATGGGGGTCGAGAAATGCACAAGACTGCACCCCAAGTCTCACACACACACACACACACACACACACACACACACACACACACACACACACACACACACACACACACACACACACACACACACCACAACACCAATGCTGTTATCAACATTGGACATATTACTGACAATTAAAACACAACCTTGTTCACGATGGAAATAGAAGAGAACTCAAAATTTACCATTTAATCGGCACACTATGTAAAGTCTTATATTGATCAACATACAAGACCTAAAGTCACACTCAAGAACTAAACTTACATTCATAAATGGCCTCCTATTAGAGTCGAATTCAATATCTGGAGCAATCACAGAAACACTTACAGACGATTATATGGACAGTGAAGAATGGATACCAAAATATAATTGATAAATATGTGATGAGGTAGACAGGTCACATGGAGGAGTAGGTGTATATATTAAAAAGGAACTTGTATGCACAGAGATCTTAAGCTCTAACACATGAGGCAGTAGAGAACTTTGAATCAAACTAGAGAATATAAACCTCCACATTATTCTAATATAGAAACAGCCAGATGTAACAGTTGAGGAATTAACAGAACAGATAAACAAAATAGAAAACAGCCTCGATAATCTAGAAAATCAGGGGCCAAATATTATCTTCTTTGGAGACTTCAATCTATGCCAATCTATAATAATGGAGAATATCAAACATTGAGCATTGAGCGTTACGAGCTGCTCTAGTTCGGCAGCATCTAGAATATCCCCCAATACATGTACACACCTTAAAGAAAACTTGCATGAAAAAATTACAAGCAAAATAAGGCACCAAGGAGAGCACAACAAAACACCGTCCACCATATGATTAGACAATCCAGGAGCTCCTGAACACACGGAACACTAAACATCAGACTACAGCACCAAGCCATCAGGGTGTGGAACACCATCGAAATGTTAGAGGACCCAATGTTAGAAAGATTACTCCAAGATGAGACGCCCCACTCCCACAGCTGGTGGCCCAAGATGAGACGCCCCGCTCCCACAGCTGGTGGCCCAAGATGAGACGCCCCACTCCCACAGCTGCTGGGCCTGTGGGAGCGGGGCGTCGAGCCAGTGCTGCTCGAGCATGTACTCGAGGGCACTCAAACTCCTCAATACATAATTCAAAGATGAAATACAAACCAAAAAACCCACACGAGACGGGTCAAAGAAACAGCTCACTCAAGCTTGTAAAGTCAACCGCAGAAACGAGGTGTGGTGGTGGGGGGTGGAAGCCTACCTCACAACCCCACCACATTAGGGCGTTACATCTTAGACTGAAAAAATGCGCCATTTAGAGAGGGCTAAACTCAGGCTGCATGACATGGCCGACCATCCTATTACAAAATTTAGAATAACCTGAAGTCCTCGCTCTGTATCCATGGTTTGCCTCTAATTGATAAATGACATACCAGATTATATGAGAGAGAGAGAGAGAGAGAGAGAGAGAGAGAGAGAGAGAGAGAGAGAGAGAGAGAGAGAGAGAGAGAGAGAGAGAGAGAGAGAGAGAGAGAGAGAGAGAGAGAGAGAGAGAGAGAGAGAGAGAGAGAGAGAGAGAGAGAGAGAGAGAGAGAGAGAGAGAGAGAGAGAGAGAGAGAGAGAGAGAGAGAGAGAGAGAGAGAGAGAGAGAGAGAGAGAGAGAGAGAGAGAGAGAGAGAGAGAGAGAGAGAGAGAGAGAGAGAGAGAGAGAGAGAGAGAGAGAGAGAGAGAGAGAGAGAGAGAGAGAGAGAGAGAGAGAGAGAGAGAGAGAGAGAGAGAGAGAGAGAGAGAGAGAGAGAGAGAGAGAGAGAGAGAGAGAGAGAGAGAGAGAGAGAGAGAGAGAGAGAGAGAGAGAGAGAGAGAGAAGAGAGAGAGAGAGAGAGAGAGAGAGAGAGAGAGAGAGAGAAGAGAGAGAGAGAGAGAGAGAGAGAGAGAGAGAGAGAGAGAGAGAGAGAGAGAGAGAGAGAGAGAGAGAGAGAGAGAGAGAGAGAGGAGAGAGAGAGAGAGAGAGAGAGAGAGAGAGAGAGAGAGAGAGAGAGAGAGAGAGAGAGAGAGAGAGAGAGAGAGAGAGAGAGAGAGAGAGAGAGAGAGAGAGAGAGAGAGAGAGAGAGAGAGAGAGAGAGAGAGAGAGAGAGAGAGAGAGAGAGAGAGAGAGAGAGAGAGAGAGAGGAGAGAGAGAGAGAGGAGAGAGAGAGAGAGAGAGAGAGAGATAGAGAGAGAGAGAGAGAGAGAGAGAGAGAGAGAGAGAGAGAGAGAGAGAGAGAGAGAAGAGAGAGAGAGAGAGAGAAACATGCCACCAAAAATCTAAACACGCAGGAAAATAGCAAGCAAGCAAGCGAGGCAACTGACAAACATCTACACAGTTCAATATAAGCAACATTTTACTCTAAACACCAAAAACCAGACTTGTAACCAAACCCAACACACACACACCAACCCAAGTCCTACCACCAAAACAAATGCAAATCAATTTCCAAACAATTATAAACGGTTCATTTACTCAATTACGACTCCCATACCAATCCCATGAGAGAGGCGGAACGATGTGTACAATAACAGAGGTTCAAAACGAAATAAGCACAAATAAAAAGCAAAACACCGATTAGCTTTAAATAAAAATCAAACAGACGGAAGACGCACATAGACAACACGAGAAGGAATAAAGGAGATAACACCAATAAATCTACAGAACCTTGTTACTCCAGGGGATCATGCCCGCCGCCTTCACCGCCTCCTGCAGGGGAGAAACATCAGAATATAAAATCATTGTAATGAGGGGTGCATAGGGTGATGGGTCAAGGGAATGACTACTGCAGGAACATGGCACTCCTGCCTCTGACGGCCACGCACACCGTCCACAGCCCCGCTCCTGTGCCAGGTAAGGCCACTACGGGCTCGCCATAGCCCGTGCTATTTTATGGAACTTTTTGTTACGAGAAGCTGAATCTAAAAACAACAACATGGGTGGAGGGGGGGGGTGTATTTCCTATTTGTGCCTGCAGAATCGAGCTGTTAGCTCTTGGACCCCGCCTTGGATCCTGCCTTTGACCCCGCACACACGCATGTGCATATATAATATAATATATATATTATATGACATATATATTACATATGAAGGGGAAGACAGGAGCCATCAGGAAAATGACCAAGACATATGCAGTTACGACCACACAAGGATGACGTGAACACTGAACATGATCGATCATGATATGACAACTGTACAACAGATATGATAATTTTCCTCCAACACCCCACCCCACCCCCCCCCACACACACTGCATATTCAGTAACAATCAACACATTACAAATATGCAACCATTCGTGTATTTCAAACTGGCAGTTTGAGGAGCAATAATAAGGGAATACTTCAAGGGACTTAATGGCATTTAAGTTGGCCACCTTAAGGATCACAGATGCTGGAATATAAACCTCGTTCGACACCTTGTGGAAAAGCAGCAACTAACACGCCAGTCATGTGATGGTCTCTCACGCATGCACGCTCACACGCACGCAGGGAGAGAGCGCAATTGGCTTGGGATTCTGTATACCAGTTGATTGACAGCTGAGAAGCGGCACCAAAGAGCCAAAGCTCAAACCCCGCAAGCACAACTAGGTGAGTACACACACACACACACACACACACACACACACACACACACACACACACACACACACACACACACACACGTACGTGCGTTTCGTAATTAGAGATCTATACAAACCCATAGTATGAACACGAGAACGGAACAGCTGTTCTCTGTTCATCTTCTTAAATATCTTCCAGTACGGATAAAGGCAACAGCAAATGAACAAATCCGGATAACGAGACTAGGACTAAACCGAAATACGGAGAACGAAGGCGTTCAAGGGCAGCACAAGTGCGGGTAAACGAAGTTCCAGACACAAACAGGATTACAAATGCATTCAAAATTCGGATACGCGAAAATCCGTGTCAGGCACAAGTGCCCTAACGAGCCAATCTTCGCAGCAAGCGGTAAGGTCATCAATTAGCGTGATTATTGCCAGTTGTTAGGTGGTGGGGGCGGCCCCTGCTGGCCTAATGACACGCCAGCACGCCCCCACGGCAGGATATATAGGTGTATGCGGGGGCAGGAGACGGGGGGGGGGGGGGGGGGGGGGGGGGTAGGGCAGGCCGGAACCATGATAGGCCAGAAGTGGCAGGCAGGTCGTAAGCAAAGCCTGCTGGAAAGGGCAGTTGGCTTGAAATGGCAACAGCGGGATATTTAAGTGTCAGGATAAATGGCAGTAGGCTTTATCCCGGACTTTAGCAATGATGTCTATATAACAATAAGTCTAAACGCCCAGTTGATGAAACGTGGATCAATAGTAGGATCAATAGTCTCAGGAGACTATGGAGTTGCGCTCTGGTTGTCGGTCTGGAGTGGCCTCTCCAGGGCGCAAAGCCAGGGTAGGTTGATTCGGGGGAGAAGCTGTTACCCAAGCAGCAGCCCCCCCCCCCCCCTTTCTCCACGGCGCCGAAGGTCTCCAGGCAGTCAATACATTGCTTGGTCACTAACCCCTCTTTGCTAGGACAACTAGAAGAACTGGGCATTTCAGGATGAAAGGCAGACTTCCCTCCTGGGAAAGAATTACCGGTTAAGGCTGCTGGGCGCGCGGGAACCCGGCCGCTCCTAGCACACCCTGGCCAGATGAGCCCACCGTGAAATCTTAAATCAGTGTGCGGAGGAGGTGAGAGTTGCAGAGAACCTGACAGGTAGGCGGAGGTGGGTATGTGTGGGTAAACATACCCGTTTACCATCCTAGCAGTGACCCAGTCTCAGCCTTAACATAATCTCGTCATTAGGCCCACTTTATTCCACATAATTATCCTTACACCCTAAAGAGTAACCCGCACACACACACGCCTCAGTACATGCCCAAACAGTTTGACCTATTCCAGGAACCAGCGTCACGTACATCACACTTACCAACTGCACGTCTCAGCATGACCACCCTGCTGTTAGCAGCGCGCTTCGCCACCACACCGTCTCCTGCTCCTCCCACAACGGAGCTACATTTACTCCTCAGACAAGCAGGAAGAAGCTAGGAGGCCGCCCAAGGCTCCGGCACCTCGCCAGGAGGCCGCCCGAGGCTCCGGTACCTCGCCAGGAGGCCGCCCAAGGCTCCGGCACCTCGCCAGGAGGCCGCCCGAGGCTCCGGTACCTCGCTAGGAGGCCGCCCAAGGCTCCGGTACCTCGCCAGGAGGCCGCCCAAGGCTCCGGTACCTCGCCAGGAGGCCGCCCGAGGCTCCGGTACCTCGCCAGGAGGCCGCCCAAGGCTCCGGTACCTCGCCAGGAGGCCGCCCGAGGCTCCAGTACCTCGCCAGGAGGCCACCCAAGGCTCCAGTACCTCGCCAGGAGGCCGCCCAAGGCTCCGGTACCTCGCCAGGAGGCCGCCCGAGGCTCCGGTACCTCGCCAGGAGGCCGCCGAGGCTCCGGTACCTCGCCAGGAGGCCGCCCGAGGCTCCGGTACCTCGCCAGGAGCCGCCCAAGGCTCCAGTACCTCGCCAGGAGGCCGCCCAAGGCTCCAGTACCTCGCCAGGAGGCCGCCCAAGGCTCCGGCACCTCGCCAGGAGGCCGCCCAAGGCTCCAGTACCTCGCCAGGAGGCCGCCCGAGGCTCTGGCACCTCGCCAGGAGGCCGCCCAAGGCTCCGGTACCTCGCTAGGAGGCCGCCCAAGGCTCCGGTACCTCGCCAGGAGGCCGCCCGAGGCTCCGGTACCTCGCTAGGAGGCCGCCCAAGGCTCCGGTACCTCGCCAGGAGGCCGCCCGAGGCTCCAGTACCTCGCCAGGAGGCCACCCAAGGCTCCAGTACCTCGCCAGGAGGCCGCCCAAGGCTCCGGTACCTCGCCAGGAGGCCGCCCGAGGCTCCGGTACCTCGCCAGGAGGCCGCCCGAGGCTCCGGTACCTCGCCAGGAGGCCGCCCGAGGCTCCGGTACCTCGCCAGGAGCCCGCCCAAGGCTCCCGTACCTCGCCAGGAGGCCGCCCAAGGCTCCAGTACCTCGCCAGGAGGCCGCCCAAGGCTCCGGCACCTCGCCAAGAGGCCGCCCAAGGCTCCAGTACCTCGCCAGGAGGCCGCCCAAGGCTCCGGTACCTCGCCAGGAGGCCGCCCAAGGCTCCGGCACCTCGCCAGGAGGCCGCCCAAGGCTCCGGCACCTCGCCAGGAGGCCGCCCAAGGCTCCGGTCCCCTCGCCAGGAGGCCGCCCAAGGCTCCGGCACCTCGCCAGGAGGCCGCCCAAGGCTCCGGTACCTCGCCAGGAGGCCGCCCAAGGCTCCGGTACCTCGCCAGGAGGCCGCCCAAGGCTCCGGCACCTCGCCAGGAGGCCGCCCAAGGCTCCGGCACCTCGCCAGGAGGCCGCCCAAGGCTCCGGCACCTCGCCAGGAGGCCGCCCAAGGCTCCGGCACCTCGCCAGGAGCCCGCCCGAGGCTCCGGCACCTCGCCAGGAGCCCGCCCGAGGCTCCGGTACCTCGCCAGGAGGCCGCCCAAGGCTCCGGCACCTCGCCAGGAGGCCGCCCAAGGCTCCGGCACCTCGCCAGGAGGCCGCCCAAGGCTCCGGCACCTCGCCAGGAGGCCGCCCAAGGCTCCGGTACCTCGCCAGGAGGCCGCCCGAGGCTCCGGTACCTCGCTAGGAGGCCGCCCAAGGCTCCGGTACCTCGCCAGGAGGCCGCCCAAGGCTCCGGTACCTCGCCAGGAGGCCGCCCAAGGCTCCGGCACCTCGCCAGGAGGCAGCCCAAGGCTCCGGTACCTCGCCAGGAGGCCGCCCAAGGCTCCGGCACCTCGCCAGGAGGCCGCCCAAGGCTCCGGCACCTCGCCAGGAGGCCGCCCAAGGCTCCGGCACCTCGCCAGGAGGCCGCCCAAGGCTCCGGTACCTCGCCAGGAGGCCGCCCAAGGCTCCAGTACCTCGCCAGGAGGCCGCCCAAGGCTCCGGCACCTCGCCAGGAGGCCGCCCAAGGCTCCGGCACCTCGCCAGGAGGCCGCCCAAGGCTCCGGCACCTCGCCAGGAGGCCAGGCGAAGATCGTGCCCTCGGGCAGGAAGAGCAATGTACACAAGTGACAACACTCATCTCCATATGCAAACCAGGAATGCTTAAAAATATAAAACGAGTAAATACTGGTGGAAATATGCGTCGTGTATTGTGGCAGAGACAAAGATGTGTGATGCAGGAGGGGGGGGGCGGAAGGAGACGGGGGGGGGGGAGAAGGGGGGGCAAGAGAGAAAGTGGCGAGGAAGGAAGGAGAGAAAGAGAGAGATATTATAGACAAGAAAACTGTTTGGTAATATGGAAGTGGTCAAGGGAGATGATAAAGAGCAACGTAAAAGAGGTGTGTCAAGCAAAAACAAATATTGAGAGGGGGGAGGAAGGGAGGGAGAAGTGAGAGGGGAAGGGAGGGAGAAGTGAGAGGGGAAGGAAGGGAGAAGTGAGAGGGGATGGAGCAGTGAGAGGGGGGCATAGTTCAACGTTCAAACTACCACTACTTGCAAATACCTGCCAGCATGGGGGGGGGGGGGGAAGAGCCCTCAGCCTCCACCCTGGTGTGGAGGGCAGGGGGGGGGAGGCGAGAGGTCACGTTAGGTCAGCTACACCACACAAACGACTGGTGAAAGTAGTGGGAACACGAGGGAATGGGTCAAGGGTCTGATAACACTGAAGGTATAGGTGGTGGTGGTGGTGGGCGTGGAGGAGCCGTGGGTGGTGGTGCTGGGCGTGGAGGAG